TATCTGATACAATGTGACACACCAGATGAAGACGACTAGAATGGCGTCGAAACGACTTTGTAATAACACAGATTGAAATCAAAAACATTGAGTCGAATACATGCGAATAGCTCGAGTGCACAACAACTTATATATGACATACGACGCAACTACAAAAATATGAATTTCAGATCAGCAATCAATAAAATTCAATTAGAAAAATTGAGGAAAAATGCGTAAAAAAATACTGAATAGCCTATACTAATGTCTCTCCTATATCTTTTTCTGTAGACAGTGAGTGCTCAATAAAAGCTTATTTAGAGGTCGAAGATGGCCAAGAAAGTACGTTGTCAACCCTTTCCTTCGCATCTCGCCATTGGGTTGTCATTTTTTGCTGTGCTGTTGTGCTGTGGTGAATTTGTTCGCATTGAAATGATGCTGAAAGAGCAAAAGAACACAATCAGACAGATGGAGGAGAAAACAAAATTAAAGCAAAACGAATTCCAGGATCGAAATAACAAGATGACAAAACAACAAAATGAAAAAATAAAACAACTGGAAATCAAAATAAGCCACAATGAACGATTTGAATTCATCAGAAAAAGGCAGGAGAGAGAAAAAAGAGACGTCTCATCCCAGTTTATAAAACACAAAAGAAATCATTCAGACGAGCTTATTCAGTATATCCCGAAAATAATAGAGGCAATAGGGGCCTTGCAATTGGAGAAAAAGATACCCGGGCCTAGAGGACCACAAGGGGAAAAAGGTCCGAAAGGCGACCCTGGTCCTGAAGGAATTCGGGGACCCAAAGGAGATCCTGTTTTGCCTTTATCTCCTCCGTCGATAGTGATGTCACACAGCAGTAATCTAACCGTCACTGAAGGCCATTCTGCTGTGTTCAATTGCTCCGTTAGTAGTAATCCACAATCTGTGGTTGTGTGGAGTAAATTGAATGGATTCCTACCCAGCGGCAGAGCAACAGACGACGGTAGAGGGATTCTCAAGATCGTTAACACTGACTATCATGACACAGGTATCTACATGTGCAAAGCTGAAAACATTGTGGGAAAAAGAGAAGGGAGATTCAACCTTGAGGTGTATTTTCGTCCTCGAATAACCTCAAATCAACCTATCCGTTATGAACGGATTGGTGATAACATAACCCTGCCAGCATGCCCTGTTAAAGGACATCCTAAACCAAATATTACATGGTCCAAACGGGGAAGGGCATTAAACAATCGCACAGCTATCAAAAATGAACGGTTGACAATCACTGAAAGCACAAAGGAAGATTCCGGTCAATACGTGTGTGAAGCAAAGAATTTTCTTGGATCTGACAAAGCTGTCGGGTTCACTCTAATCGTTGCTGATCTACCAATATTCATCAAAAAACCGCCTTCTGCTTATGCTTCACGCGAAGGCTCGACATTAACCCTCAACTGCAGTGCTGAAGGTGATCCCGACCCTGTCATCCAGTGGAGAAAAGAGAAAGGAGATTTACCTATCGGTAGATACGAAATAAGGGATACATCTTTGATTCTGAGAGACTTGAAAGTAGAAGATGCCGGAGTGTATGTGTGCACTGCAACAAGTGCTGGTATATCTGATGCTACTGCAAAGACAAACCTTAATCTTAAACCAGCTGAATGCTCAAGTATTTACAAACAGGGGAAGAGACGCAACGGTGTGTACACTGTATGGCCGGATAACCAGGGTAAGATCAAAGTCTACTGCGACATGACAACTGATGGTGGAGGTTGGACTGTGTTCCAAAGAAGAAAAGATGGATCAGTAGACTTTTTTCGCAACTGGACTGACTACAAAAGAGGTTTTGGAAATCTGACTGGCGAGTTCTGGTTGGGTAACGACTTCATTCATCGACTGTCGGCAAAGAAAAATTCCAGCCTTCGCGTCGATCTTGGCGATTGGGATGGAACTAAGATATATGCCAAATATGGGCAATTTAAAATTGAAACTGAAGCGGACAACTACAAACTGAGGGTGGTCTCGTATTCAGGTAATGCTACTGATGCGTTGACCCGACACAACAATAAAGCTTTTAGTACAAAAGATAGAGATAACGACCTTCATCCTACAGCAAAGTGTGCATGGAGTTCCCATGGTGCTTGGTGGTACGATAGGTGTTATTCTTCTAATTTGAATGGTCTCTATAAAAAATCTGGCGGGTGGGCAGTTACTTGGGATACATATAAATACGAGTGGTCTCTTCAAACTACTGAAATGAAAATGCGACCATTACGATTTAATGATAAGTAACATTTACTTAGGAGGAGTCGATGGATTCCTGGGAAAAATATATCTCATGATATCTGTTCTTATGTCCCAGCCAGCTGTAAGTCACAATTTGGTTGCCAGCGAGAAATTCAGGGAAAAAAAAGAACTCTCCAGGCAAGGAATACTTCTTCCAAAAACTTCCTAACTGAAAAAATATATAAGGCCTTTTTTGACCAAAAAACGTTATATAAGTCATATTAGCCTTTTTGAATCGTAGTGCCAGAAACAAAATTATTTTAAAGAAGGAAGGGCGCCGCATTTGCTTGTGAGTCCTGATTGCCAACAACGTAGCCCAAAATCCCTTTCGCAGGAAAAAATTGTACAAGAACAGTTATTTAGAAGAACAGACCCCGTCGACTCCTCCTGACGTACAGTACATATCCCTAATTGATTGTGATTGACCTACAATACATCGACAATAATTATAATGATAAAAACGAAAACTGTCTTGTAAACCTCTGTACTTATAGGTGAATTGTATTAATTACAACTCATAAACAAAGGTCTGAGAGTAATCAATGACAACCCTATTTATGTCATTAATTACGCATCCATATGCACGGCGACGCGTTTACTGCCTTACCAAATGTTTTTCTAAGCTTGAGTAATACATTTCCTAAACATAAAATACGTACAATACTTTACTTACACTTTTAGCTGATTCGACCTATTAAGGCAATGGGTTCTCTCTGAAGTTATTTTTGTATCCACAATTTACGCCTAGTTGCTCAACGCAGGCGCGTAGCGTCCTTTACGCATATACGCACCTGCGTGCACTAGTGACAAGGAATTTTTACAAAAATTACTGAAATATTCACATAAAATTGATTCCTTTTATATGCCCTCGCTAGAAAAACGCTAGAAATCGCATTTCTAAGAGTTATTATTTCAAAATTTCCTGGGGGAGGTCCAGACTCTGTCGTTAGACCCCCAGATCCAAAATATGTGTTGCGGTCCCTGACATGTGCGAACTAGCAAAAAAGTCCACGCTGCGCGCCTGCAACGGTAGTTATCCAGGCCATCGCTATAAGCCACTATTCCAGAAATGACAAATATCAATCCTCTAAACCTATATTTCACTATAGCCCCAAAGTATACCTTTCTTATCTTTTACCCTTTCCATGCACGCTTCAATGAAATATGGACTCTTATAGAAAGACGTGATCAGCATTTAAACTTTCTTTGTTCGGCATTGTCGGCATCATGCCAAAAAGGCGCACACTTCTCCAACTATTCTGCAGTTCAAGTCCTCGTTCTCCAGACCAGTGTAAAAGGTATTTACATTGTATGGTTTCTCCAACTTTTACCAAAGGTCCGGTGAAAGTATTTCACACTGCTGTTTCGACCATATTGCACGATCATCAGTTATGGTTAATTCAAAATATGTGATCATACACTGAAAACATATTCATGTGCTTCAGGAAAGCCTCTTATTCAAAAATAAATACAAAACGTGGGCTTTTTATCACCTGTTTTCGACTAGGAATGATGACGAAAATCAATGCCGTGCCTGTATTATGATAGCGGATGAAAGCGGATGTGACATTTGTAGTAGTTTCCAGGCCATGCGCTGTTTCAGTCCAGTCCACCGCAAGTGTACGACAAGTAACGCCTGACTACTTTACGTAGCTAACCAAGCCAAGTGGTTGCGATGGCTGTGAAGAAATGAAATTTAGTTCGTATTTTTGCCCTAACAAGAGATGATTCACGTGCAGGGCGGTAAAATTCAATTTTAAATGCTATTTATTAACAGTGGAATTTGTTGTAAGTGTACTATTTGAGGGCATCTTGGCTATGAAAGAGTTTAACTCAGCGATCGAGTAATCAACTGCTAAAAATCGACATGGAAATTGTTTCGTCTGGAAGGTAGGTCCATCAAACTCTTTTACTCAAAAATCTAATTTTTGGCAAGATAAATACAAATGAAACATTTTTTGGGTTAGTTTGGAGTCTATAAGTCGACCTTCAAGTACAGCAAGCGAAAAGGGAAAGAAATCCCAACTAAAGGTAAGGTACATTATAACTTATACATGACATTCAAAACACAAATTGATTTTATTCATTATATTTTTGTCAACATCCTTTACATTAGCTGTTTGGCATTACTTATCATGGAAGTCAAACAATAAAGAAATTTAAATGTTAATATTTTATTTCAAATATATAACTTCAAG